CACACACAATGAAAGGAGGTGATCCCGAGATTGGCACCCGGCCTAGTCCAAAAATGCGCTTTTATGAGCAGAACTTGATAAGCAAAAGCCAACCCCAACTTGCCAGATCACAGGAGGGCAAGGCGAAGGCCTGGAGTTTAGGCACACACAAGGAGCGGCCCTGTTTATGTGACTGCAAACGGTTCTTTAAGAGTTCCTGGTAAGGTTTTGGGGGCCCAAAATAAGGTTTAGAAGCACCCGTAGCACGCACAAAGAAGAAAGCCGGGGACCCCGAGATTGTCACCGGCCTTCCAATTTTCCAAATAACAGAGGTTTGGAGCAGGCACACACGAAGAACGGCCCTGTTTATGGGACTGCCAACGGGTTTTTAGGAGTCCCTGGGAAGGTTTGGGGATACCAAAACAAGGTCTGTACCATTCCATGTGAACTAGGGGCCCGAAAGCTACCCAATCGTGCTAACAATCACGCCAGTGCATGGGGGGTTTGGAGCCGTGCGACGAAAACTCACTTCCAGGTGTCCTAAACAAGCCAGTTCACAACCGCCTGTGCTTGGGACTTTTCTGCGTGTGAGATGTAAAAATTCAGTTCCCGGGATCCCAAACCTGCTGCAGCACGCTAGCAACTGTGGGGGATCAGTTGGCTTCAAAGCTCCCGCTTCGTCCGAATGGACGGCGCGGGCACCTGCCCTCTCGAAAGGTTTTGGTCATCCAAAATCTCGGTTCCAGTTGGTCAAGGGACCTAAAGAACCCCAGCGGGAGTTGAGCCCACACAGCTTCCCCACTTGCCTCGAGAGCCGCTTGTCTGCACACTGAGCTGTGTATAACTCAGCAGCCGGGCGGGGGACGGCCACCTTGTGAACCAAACTGGGCAGGGTCGCGGGCTCGATCTTTGAGCCCTTTCCTGACCGAAAACCGCCCGCTAAATCCGTGCAATTATACATTGAATCCATACAAATATGCGTTAAATCCGTGCAAATCCACATTAAACCCGTGGATTGTGCTCGTGCTTGTTCGTAGTACAACTTTAGTACTGGAAATGCCTCGTTTCGGCTCCTGGCTGGCTTGTCTGCTTGCTGGTAGCACAACTTAGTGCTGGTGGCCTGAGTTGGGGAAAACCGATCGAGCTGAGTGGGACGAAGTCGTGGGCACGGGTGCTAGACGTGTGTTGGATGTGCACAAAATGACTTACCGAGGTGCCAAACAACCTACAGTGCGCTAGTTCACCACGCCAGTGCTTTCTTGGAGCCGGGCACGTTGGGAACCACACCAGAGCCCATTCCATGTGAACTAGGGGCCCGAAAGCTACCCAATCGCGCTAACAATCACGCCAGTGCATGGGGGGTTTGGAGCCGTGCGACGAAAACTCACTTCCAGGTGTCCTAAACCTAACAGAGCAAGCCAGTTCACAACCGCCTGTGCTTGGGACTTTGATGTAAATTCAGTTTCCGGGATCCCAAACCTGCTGCAGCACGCTAGAAACTGTCCAGGCGTCCCAAACCTACCAGAGCAACCCTGAACCTTAAGGGTCTTGAAAGAGGCCAAGGAAGGATAAAGGGGCTTTGCAAGTGGAAATGCCTCGTTTCGCTCCTGGCTGGATTGCGCTCGCTTGTAGTACACTGGAAATGCCTCGTTTCGGCTCCTGGCTGAATTGTAGTACAACTTTAGTACTGGCAATGCCTCGTTTCGGCTCTTGCCTGGATTGTGCTTGCTTGTGGTACAACTTCAGTACTGGAAATGCCTCTTTTCGGCTTCTGGCTGAATTGTGCTTTCTTGTAGTACAACTTCAGTACTGGAATTGCCTCGTTTTACAAGGGCGTGCACAAAATAAGTGACCGAGGTGCCAAACAACCTACAGTGCGCTAGTTCACGACGCCAGTGCTTTCTCACTTCCAGGGGTCCGAAAACTACCGGACCGTTTTGGTGTAGAAGCAGGTCACACGCTTCCACAGCATCGTCAAACCGTTGTGGCGGCCATGGCAGCAATTGAAGACACCATTCGGAGGTGGGAACTAACACGATGGACAGGTGAAGGGGCGAGCGACGTATGTCGCAGGCAGGCGGCGAAGCTTAGGAGCACACACCACGCTTGTGGCTGAAGGCGCGTGAGTGCAAACCGGCAGGAGCAGGACGTTGCGGTGAGTTACTGTCCGCAGTACGGAACGGGGCGTCATCCAAGCCCCAGTGACATGGCCACCGAGCCCGCCAGCAACCACAGGCAAGCCCACGGCCTAGCCGTGCCTTTCCCTCAAAAATGAAGGCCTGGTAGCGACCCACACGGGCTGCGTCGCGCAGGGGGTGGCGTTCTCCGCTCGTGGACCATCAGAACAGAACTGCACCCACGCCCAGCGGATCCGCCCCTCAAAGAAGGACACAGTTGACCCCACGTAGTGCAGCCAGGACCTAGGCGAACGTGACAACGACGGTAACGGCCTGGACCACGTAAGCCGTGGCCCAAACTACGAAGCCTCAGCAGCCCCTATGTATCGTCCCGTCTCGAACGTGCACACCAGAGCCCAGGTCCGAGCTCAAGGTGATGGTGCATCAACTTGGTATCGAGGGCATGAGTAACATGGAGGGTGAAATAGACTCAACGACGTATGTCGTCGGTCGCAACGGCTTCCACAGGGGGAAAGCGATCACAGACAGAGATGAACCGCCTAATCCCATTTGTTCCGTGGCACCCAGATCCAAAATTCCAAAGCCCACTGGCAAGCGTGGCCGGCTTCCAAACAGGGGGTGCATCGACATGGTGGCGAGGGCCTGCCTGCCCACGCCATTGGAGCCCGACCTCGGCTAAGCGACGCTGAAGCCGAGTACAACCCAATTGCCGCTTGCTCCAGAGAGAGAAACAGACGCAACGACGTATGTCGTCGGTCACAATAGCGGCTGATGGAGACTGATTGTCAACTAGAAGAGCCAGCCGCCGCTGAGCGCGGCCAGCTGTCGAGGAGGCGCTGCATGTCACGACCGCTCGAAGGAAAATGACTCTCCCTTAAGAGATAGAGCAGCTGGTAATTCCCTCACGATAGATTTCCGTCACCCTTCGGAATGAGTATTGGTGAGTATCCGGGTCGGGGGCATGCAGATGTGGCATTAGATCGGTGGATATACATGGAAATTGGAGGCCAGGTCCAAGCCCCCTTCCCTGCGGAACTCATCTGCCGCTGCCCTCCAGCTTTCCTGCGCCCAGGGATGCCCCAACCTGACCAGGGACGCTCGCCACCCGGCAGCTCCTGCGCCTGATTCTCCTCCCGGGCGACCAACCGGTGAAGGAGGACCATCGCTTTCGAGTCAAACGCGTCGAAATGCGCGAAGCGCCATAAGCGGACTGGAAAGTAGAAGTCCTTCTTTTGTGTGGCCCACGTATCCAAGCCACTACCGCGCTGAGATCCCATCCATCAAAGGTCCCAGAGACTCCAATATTCCTTAATTAAGTTAAGGCATAATTTTAAGGAGAATTACCTCTTCAGGAGAAAAGAATTTTAAAAAAGAATTTTAAAAAAGAATTATGCGTCGTGGATATTAACAAAGAATTTTTGGGCGGCATTGAACCAACGCAAAATTCATTGGCATATGGTTATGTAACACACATTGAAACGAAACACAACACCAAACACAACACACAACACACCACAACACACAACACACAACACACAACACACAACACACAACACACAACACACAACACACAACACACAACACACAACACACAACACACAACACACAACACACAACACACCACAACACACAACACACAACACACCACAACACACGACACACAACACCTCACAACACACACATGCAACACACAACACACACAACACACACACACACAACACACACAACACACACAACACACACAACACACACAACACACACAACACACACAACACACAACACACAACACACAACACAACACACAACACACAACAGACAACACCTCACAACACACAACACACAACACACGACACCTCACAACACACAACACACAACACACACAACACACAACACACAACACACACAACACAACACAACACAACACAACACAACACAACACAACAGGACACGACACGACACGACACGACACGACACAACACCACACTACACGACACGACACGACACGACACAACACAACAAAACACAACACAACACAACACACACAACACATGCACATGTTATAAAGAAAATTAAGTTATAGTTCGATATGCACCCATGGGCCGGTCCTGCTTCCTGCGATGACAAAACATATCCATATTGCATGCATGCATGCAGCACAGATCGAACTCGTTGCAATGGACAACATTGCATGCTCGGATATGGATCGGCCACGTCAAATAACTTGCATGTGATGCATGTGCCCGATCAAAGATATATCGCAAGCCTCGACTGCATTTACTCGGCCTAGCATTTGGTCGCGGTCATGCCGAAACGTGAATGCATGCATGTAAATAGCAAATTAGTATGGATGTATAGGTATCTGACAGTAGAATAGCAATAATATATGTAAATCGGAGTATGTAAACAAAGCCAAAATATCTGTACCAAAAAAATATAGCCTATATCGCAAAATCTCGCTCCAATCGACATATTTAAGTATATACTATGCTTGTATTGCATTTGCAAAATTGACTCCATATTCCACCATGTGCTGAGACCCCTCTGTTTGTTGCACGATCGCGTGTGACCGTGAGAGCTTTGCAGCATGGGCGCATATGCCCACACACAAGCATTGGATCGATCTAGCTGCGGAAAAGCTATATCTAGTCTCGATATATATATATATATATAACGAAGCCCTTGCACATGCAATATCGCACGATCCGTCGCATGCATGAGAGCGGCTGCACGTACTACACCTGAGGCACTTTGTGTTGGGCCCGAAACTTGTTCAACAAGTTTCGGGCCATTGGAGAAGGCCCTTCATGCCCGCCCCTGGATCTGCTCTGCGCCGCGATCCTTACATGTGCCAAAACGATAAGAAATCTATAGCTAATAGCCTTGTTAACAAAAGCTATTCAATTCAAGGCTCGACCCACCGAAGCTTTCGTCCCTGTAGGTCCACCACATGCTGGGTGAGCTTCTCGCCATCTCACACACGTGGAGCCAGACATGCATTTTAGGTTTGTATCTCCAACGGGCATCCGGCTGCACAGCTTCTTCCAAAGCCATGTACCTTTGGCAAATTTATGCAATTAAGGATCGATATCGGGACATGCACAAAACAGCCAAGGTACAAGTGCAAAAACTGCTTGCAATGGAAAGCGAGGTCATCGGCATCGAAAGCTTCGCGGGAGAGATTCCGATAGCATGCTTGCAAATGCTTCGATGCCATACGACATGTCGACTCCTCGGACGACAGTCCGTAGCCTTGCAAGTACTTGTCACAAGCCATGACCACCCAATCCACCAGGGATCTCGCTTCCCCAGCCTTGGACCGCAATTTAGGCGACTTGGATGCTTTCTTGCGAATCATCAGTGGCGTAAGTGCACCCAGCTGGTTGTCGCATCGATTGGTAACATAATACTGTCGAATGTCATCAAAAAGCAACTGTACTCTCTTCTCATGATTGTCGGCGGGCATCTTCGTACTCATCAAAAACATGGCGTTGCCCAAATAATCTTGGCATACTCCAAGATCGCAACAGTGTAGCCAATCTATACAAAAGGTGCGAATGTCGACGAACGGGGCTTCAAATATTGGCGAACAGTTCTTGTGCAAGTCGAGCATGTGGACCAAAAGGTCGGAAGTCTCCCAAAGCTGGGTCCTCCATGGGGCAGTGGGGCCCAAATCTCGCATAGTTTCCGGCGTCGCCTTGCAGACAAAACAACAACACCTCTTCTCGTTCCAGGCAGGCATCCTAAAGGATGCCTTCAGCATAGACCAATCTCCACGAATTTCTACGAGCGCTCCTCGCGCATGCATGGGACGGCCCGCCAGCTTCGCTCGTTTGCCTTGCAAAAGGGTGCCATTCGATTCGTGCGACGGAAAGAAGCCCGACAGCAAGGAATGGCAAGACCAAGATAACACCTTGAACACAGCGTCCCAAGTCTTCCCGCCCTTTAAAAAAAATTTCTTGTTCATCACCGTCAAGGGAATCCGAATGTCTTGTCGGACTCCAAGTCCAGGGAATGACATTGTGACCATTTCCAACGATTCGCTTCGGTCCCCCTTGATGGGGACCCCATCTGCCCACAAAGCAATGCTGATCAGCGGTGCAGTACTTGAGCCCGAAGCGGACGAGGCTTCGAAGAAAGAGCGGATTTCCTCCATCTTCTTTGCCAGCTCGGGCCTCAAGTGTTCCATCGATGCAAACTTGTCAATGGAGTCCTTGTTCCAGCGAATCACCGTGTCCACCAGCTCGTGTGGCAGCATCATGAAAAGTTTCGCGACAGATTCTTTGTCTGTTTTCGTATCGTATACCGGTACATCACACTCGAACAGGTCGGGCCATCTAGAATTGGACAGCAGCTTTCTCAAGACGTCGCGGTGTGCATTGTGATCTGTATCTCCAGCCACATCGGAAACATGCACAGCTTTGGCGTCCCCTGCATCCTGGTACAGGGTACGGGCTCGCTTCCCACTGATCTCGCCACTCAAGAAAAGATCAGCTAGGTTCTCACGTAGCCGCCTCTCCTTAGGCAGCTGCTCTCTTCTTTCCAGAAACTCTTTCCGATTCTCCATGCTGCCATATTCACAAGAGGCATGGTCGCACAGTCAACCCTAGGCAAGCGTTTTCGGCAACGGAGTTCGGGGACGGGCTACACATGCATTCGATCGGACTTGAAACTACGTAGGGTTGTAATCGAGACTCCAAAATCCCAAGTAAACATGTGTATATGTTTAATTTGTACACAGGCTAGCGATATATTAAGTATAAAAGCATATGCAATGTATACCTTTATACACATGCATACAAGGGGTTTTGGAGTCTCCATGCCACGGGCTGCGGGTTGCAATGCTCCTGCAGCTGATGGGCCTTGGCAGGTCGAGATTAAGTTGAGGGCATGGTTTACGGGCGATATATCCTGGGTTAAGCTTGGTGTTAAGCTGGGTGCCCATAGATCGACGACATTACGATAACAGCTTAATTTGCTATAGTTCGCGATGCGGGTTCGGGCGTTCGGTCTAAATTGGGCCGTTCTGGGTGCATATGGCTTCACGTGGAGCTCGAGCTGCTCAGCCACATATAGTAAGCGCAATTATTCGGGCAATTATTCGGGCATTGAAGACTCCAAAACCCCTCAATTCAGGAATGAATTCAAAATGTAATACATAAGGCTTCTCTAATAGTATATACCATACACTTAATCCTTACTTGAGTGGTTTTGGAGTCTCTGCTAGGTTATAGTTCGGGCATACAATAACCGGTTAGAGCATCGGGATACATAGCATCGTCATCTTATTGATTCGGGTTTTCAACTCTATGTTGAGGGCGTCGAGCTTGCATGCAAGCTTGGCTTCAGGGTCCGAGGTTATTTGAGGGGCTGGATTGATGCAAAGTTTCGTTAAGCTACCTGTTGCATTCAGGCCATCATTATTTGGAATGTTACGGTTAAGTTTCGAGTCCCATTCCACCGAATGCATGATGGTATGGCAAACGTCCTTCTGGGATCAATTAATGGCATACCTGCACATGTACATCATTGCATGCGTTATTCAAGCCTTGGGGTTAAAGTGGGTTTTGTGTTGTGGGTTTTTAAGGTTTTAGGTTTTCGGGTTTATGCATGCCCCAGCAACCGGCCTCGCTGATCGCACGATGCCCCGAAACACGTGCACCATCCATCGATGCAAACCTTATTTGTAGCTAGACCCCCTATGTAACTATTTCGAAATGACTATCTAACCATAGCCCCTTCAGAAACCCATAGGGGTACCCGTTGCAAAGACCACGATAAGTTTTGGGCGCCTCGGATGCATGAGCCGTCATCGCATTGCACATGTGCACGACACGTCTTGGATCCTCGACCCACCGGCTACGACATGAAAGCCTGCAAGCGAAGTTTAAACTGCTTCAATCCATCAACGTGCACCGTGGCGATATTGATCATGCCCTCCATCTTTCCACTGAGTTCCTCCCAGGCCTCTTTGGTTGTGTTCTCATCGGATTGCAAAACGGCGTGCGTGCTGATCTGGACCCGGGCTCGTTCCACGAAGCTTTTGGCCTCTTTCAAATTGTTGTTGCCCTCCTTGATGAACTCGGCGTACTCCGGCTTCTTCGTGCACTGCAGCTGCGAAATTCCATCCTCCAGCGGGTTGATAAGCTTCTCAATAGAAGCTTTCCCGCTCTTCAACACACCAACCTTCTCCGTGGCTTTCACCTTCTCGGGGTTCTCGATCTTCACCTGGCAGCTGGAGCTGCTGGAATCGCCCAAAGCCAAAGCAAGGCCGGATGTTTTGAGGTTGGTGCTGATCTCCATGTTCGTCTGCTTCGTTTCTGCATAGGTGCTGCTGCTTTTACCGAAGCAAAAGAAGTACTTGGTAAGCTCGGGGCATCCGGGGACCTCCTTCACGAGATCCTTAAGGTCCTTGTAGTCCACGTCGTAATCCTTGTAGTTCTGGATCCTCATGGCCTCGAGCACAATGTCCTGGCGCTTCTTCTCCGGAGCGGATCCCGATCCCAGCTCCCTCTCAAAAATCTTGCTCATCACGAAGAAGCCTCTTTCCACTTTCTGGGCATCACTGTTCGATGAAGTGGCCTGCTCGGTATAGCTGGGAACCCAAGCCAGGTTTTTGATCCCGCCCTTTTCCTGGTACGTCTTGATGAGGTCGTGCTTGGCGGAGGAATCAGCATTGTGATAGGTCTGGCAGGGACAGAAAATTCAAAAGACACGACCTAGATAAGGTTTGAGGCTGCGTGGGTGCAAGGTTGTTTCCAAAACCAGCCGAAAGTACCGAACCACTAAAACACCCCAGCGTGGCACATAGTATAGATAGGGACAGATAGTGTTTATAATATAATATGACATAATATAACATAACATAGCATAATATAATATATATGAACAACCGAGCTGGTAATGCACACCAACACCCAAACCCCAAGCCCACGGCTGCTCGACTCCCGAAAAGCAAACCCCCTCTCCCGGCCCGGGAGAGGGGGTTTGCTTTGAGGCATTCTTGGGTCCTGCGTTACCTTAAGGGCACCAAACCCCAGATCACCAAGCACCAGACCCGACACACACACACACAGAACCCTAACCCCCCCGCCCACCAACAACATTACCCTCAACTCAAAAACCCAACCCCTTCAAATCAAACACAGCCGGCCTCAAGCAGCTTCTGAGCGTTCGTCTTATCATTGCCCTTGCCGTTCAGCGACTTATACTTCAGGCCAGTCAAGAAAGTCGACGTCGTCCCTCGCGATGGCTGCTGCCCTGGATCTGCAGCCTTCGCCTTCGCCTTCGCCTTGCTCTTGACCGCCGTGTTCTTCGGCACCGGCTTTTTCTTCACACCCATGGCCTGCACAGGGGCGTTAAAAAAAGTTAAAATTTTAACTTTTTTAACATTTTTTAACAGTGGTTTAAAAGCTATTCTAATGGACAAGGATGCGTTAAAAAAGTGTTAAAAAAAATTTTAACACTGTCTTAACAGGCCATTGCTTGCTAAGGTCTGGTGTCTCAGCACGGAGCAGAACCACAGCAAGCGAAGAAACCCGGCCAACCGTCAAGCATTCAAGCCAGAAACAATGGAGGTAAGCCGCCATGACCCAAAGCAATGCACAGCCTCGATTCGAAGATCGCCCGCCACAGGATCCAGACGGCGGAGATCAGCAGCCTGGGAAGTGGTATAGTAGTAGTAGTAATAGAAACAATAGCAGCAGTAGTAGTATTAATAGTAGTAGTAGTAGTAGTAGTAGAAACAGTAGCAGCAGTAGTATTAATAGTAGTCGTAGTAGTAGTAGTAGTAGCAGTAGTATAAGTAGTAATATTAGTAGTAGTAAAGTAATTGAAGTAGAAGAAAGAAAAGAAGAAAAGCAGCAGCAGCAGCAGTGCAACCCCACCACCCCACCCCACCCCCACCCCACACCACCCCACCCCAAAAAGGCACCACAAACCGAAGAGCGTAAGCAACCTGCAACTCAAACAAAGCTGCTATTTGGGGCCCCTTGAAAGGTGTTTCATGACTGTAGACCCTGCCACATACAGGGCGATGAATTTAGGCTCGGGAGGGTCTACAGTAGGCCCAAAGGGCCTTTTAAGGAGGTATGCAAAGCTGGTCCGGACCTATGCCGGTCAAGCTGCTTGCTTAGTGGTAAAATTCTAGTTTGCTTTTTTTTGCTACTTTAGTGGTAGCGTATATATATGTATATATACTACTAATGTAACATATTAGTGTATTATTTACTATATACATATATATATATATACATGTAAGTATACGTATTGATTTAGCATACCGTATCTATATGTACATATATACATATATGTAATGGCTGCCAGCCAATGGCTTAGGCTCCGGCCGGCTGCAGCAATGAAGGAGCCGCCCAGCACCAGAAGTAGCAGCTTAATGCCCTGATGGACAGGTGGAGGCTTGGAAAACAAACTTGACCGAACACTGGACCAACACATAACATGCACATGGCCTGGCACCAATCCTTCACAGAGGTACCATGCATGCATGCGATCGAGATCGCAATGTACATCGAGCCAACACATATGTATATATGAATGCCATGCATGCAGCAAGCACATCTCAACCCGGCAACCCTGCATGCACTTTTCGTTTCAACACTCGAGCCTCGGCTTCAATAAGCTCACATGTGTAGCAACTGCATACAATTTATTGTAGGGCTGGAGGGATGTATTATGGCCCGGGACATACCACCGGCGGCCGGGGATCTCCTTAAAGGGATGTTTTATGGCCCGGGACGTACCACCGGCGGCCGGATCTCCTTAAGTGAAATTCTTCAGCCTATCCTTTAGAAGCTGCCCCCACCCTGTAATAGTGGCATTATAGGCATATAATATAGGACCCTAATACAATCCTTATAGTGACTATTACAGGGTGGGGGCAGCTTCTAACCTATCCTGTAACTAGCACCCCCATCCAATCACGATCAGCCGGCTGCCCGGCTTTGCACATCCAATCGCCGGCCCACCTCAGCATCGCCCGGCAAGTGTTCAACATGAAGTATATTTAATATGTTTACCATGCCACAAAACCTCATCCCGGGCGCCAAAATCACGAAACCCGACAATAACTAATATGCATGGACGTACACATGAAGGTGATACATATTGATCTATCTATATATATATAATTTATATACTTGAGAGCTAGTATATATGTGCATATATATACTAGCATAGTGTTCCCGGAAGCTCACACACACACATGCACATATACATGCAAGCATTTGTATATATTGTATACAGAGATACATAGGCACACAGAGATGTGTCATGTGTGAGATTCTATTGCATGTTAAAGATTTTTCGTCAACCTGAAATGCTAAGTCTACAATAAGCCATAAGCACCAGTGCATGTACAGAGCATGGGGCATGATGTGCATGTGGAGGTTAAACCAGCCTTGAGTCGAGAAAACCGGGGAATGTAAAGCTATTACAATATATGGGTTATTTCATTTAGATCATAAACTATGTATAGATAAGAACCCAAAAATGAAGATGACATATTGCCAACATTTACATATATTTGTTGCATATACTTATTTACTTTTCTGTATCTTACTGAAACATGCCTTAATTGCACCACCGATACCATCGATCACCACAACCGCCACATCGCTCATCACCGTCACCATCATCATCATCATTATCATCGACCCGGACCCGTATGCATGCACCGGCCGTTGAAACCGGGATCCTGGCTGCATAGTCCAGCCTGCCAAGGGGAAAAAGCAGTAAGTAACAATTAAGGTCAAGGCTCCAGGAGTGCATGCGTAAAAAATCCTGCCTGCATCCACTTCGTCGAGATCTCGATGTGCGTGTCCAATGGACCTGCCACGAATGGTAATCCCATACATCTCTGACGATAACATGGAGGCCTGATCCAGCGAATGCTGAAGCAGCGAAGTCCATCCAGCATCGGTCCACCTGGAATCGTAAGCTTAAGATCGCATCCATATATAAGGCACTCGACCCGGGATCCCGGCACCGTCATTCGAAGTTGATGTGATCACCGGCGGAGCCTTTTAGCAAACTGCAATATATGCGTGTTCAACGACAGCGATTTATTGCACCCTGCCTGAAGCGGAACGACATGGCCTTCATTTTTGCACCTGCCGCCAAACCCGTAAGCTGGGAAATGCTGAAGCAAAGCACGGAGGCAATCGGACCGTTGAGCATGCAGCAATGTCCACGACGTCCACGACATAATATCAGGCCTGGGATTGTGCCGCGATCAGGATCTGGAATCTGCGAGCAGCATGATGATTATTAATCATTGAGCACCAGGCGGCCACGAAGTCGAGCGGAAGCATTCATGGGACGTCCTGGCCGGATGATTTCATGCTTAGGGTTACTTCGGGGGCATGCGATACAGACTTTAAGGACCGGGCGGGCACGAGGAAATAATCTGAAGATGAACCTGGCATCGGGAGTGTAGGACTTACGAGCTTCAAAAGCGGCATCGTTGAGCACCGGGCTGCAGCGAAGATCCGATCCAGCACACAGGACCTGGGAAAGAAGGGCAGTTTGGGGCTTATGGTGCGTGTTTGGGCATACGAACTCAGCAACCGGGCGACGAAAAAGCCTGAAGAACGACCTGGGCTCAAAACCGCGGCAAAACCTGAGCATGCAGGGGCGACGACCGGAGAAAGATCGCCACCATGATGATCATCCACTCAGACCTGGGAGCAAGCAGGGCTTTATAATTGCAACAAAATCTATAGATATGTAGACAGTGCGTGTGATTAATGAGCATCGGGCAGCGAACGACCCATCGATGATCATCTGCAGCCCATGCACCTGGAAGAAGGGTATAATTCAAGGCCTAAATTGAGGGATATCTCGGCGCTGTGTGGGCTGATATGCTGAGTCATGGACCTTCTGCAAACGATCGTGATCGAGACGGCCGGCTTCGGAGTGCTACTCGGGGTTTGGGGTTAATTTAGGGTGTTCCATGGCATTACTCCGTATCCATGTGGACCACGGACTCCTTGGCCTAATCGAGCTGAGACCGCAGTGCGTCTTTTCAAGCGCACCTGGGCAATCAGAGGGTTATGCAGAGAAGGTGACTGTTCGTCAAGCAGTCAAGAAGGTGGCCTGGGCAAGAAATTGCCAGCTTACCGTCTCAGGCTATTCTCCTTTGGAGATAGCTACAGGAAGACGGCCACCAGACTTGTTTGATGTCGAGAACAGTTCTCCTGAACAGCTCTCTGCTGAACCTGCCGAGGAGGATCGAACCACTCTGGAACTCCAGAGGATTGCCATGCGGGCTCATCAAGAGGCTAGACAATCACTTGACCTTCGGAAGGACCTTGCACGGAGAGTCATGCCGTCTGATGGTCCTTACTCGAAGGGTGACCGCGTGTTTGTTTGGCATAAGGATGAGTCGAAGAAGAAGTCTGAAGGAACCTGGGTCAGAGGCATAGTTGTGTCACAGGAAGGTGCCATGGTGTTGGTTGAAGTTCATCGTGCCGTTCTTCGGGTTAATCAGTCGAAGGTCAGGCGTGATGGAGATCCGTGGCATGATGTGGCCATTCCTCTGAAGAAAGATGAGGTCCCGAGACGCTCTTCTCAGGAAGAGGCACTCGACCGCATCGGCGACGATATTCTTGATCGTGCCGGTTCTGGGTTCTGCTATGAGCATGAGATCTGTTACCACACTCTCACTTCAGGCAAGAGCGATATCGTTGAGATCACACCTCGCCTCACCGGGCTTACTGCGTGCACAGTCCATTCTGGACTTGATGCGAGTGAACCTGTGTTGTTTGGTGAATGGAACGCCAAGTCTATCCAATCTTCGATTGAGGCCGCTTGGCAAGTGATCTTGAAGGCAGAGCCTAATCACATTTTCATTCATCCTGTCATCCCTGATGGTTGGACCAGGAAGGCTACCAATGCCTTCTGGCACTTTTGTGCCGAAGTCTGCCGTTGGCAAGATGACAAAGGTGATGGATACTTCGTGACCATCATGTATCCTTCTCATTGTGCTAGGGCACGCTCCTACTCCAACGTTGGAGTAAGCAGCCCCCTACTAGGGCACGCTCCTACTCCAACGTTGGAGTAAGCAGCCCCCTACTAGGGCACGCTTCTACTCCAACGTTGGAGTAAGCAGCCCCCTACTAGGGCACGCTTTCACTCCACCGTTCAAGGTCTAGAGCTACCGAAAGATACCCCTTGCGAATTCAGAGTTTGGGGTCTTGAAATAAATAGTATATGAATAAGAAGAAAACATAAGCAGTATAAGCAAGCAATAGAAAATGGTTACACTACAATCCTAGCGAATATATAAGCTAGCATAGCTCAAAGGAAAATTTGCCGTCCCTCCCA